CAGCCTTGAACTTCTGGGCTCAAGGAATCCTCCTGCCTCAGCTTCTCAAGTAGCTGGGACTACACATGTGCACCCCCACGCCCAATTAATTTTTAAATTTTTTTTTCTAGAGATGGGGTCTCACTATGTTGCCCAGGCTGGTCAAGGCAGACACTTTTTAAAAACTAAAATATAGTCACTATTTTTAGTAAAGATATACCATGGGATCTATGCGAAATACTACTTCCTCTCCCAAAGAATGTTGGGAGGAAAATATGTATAATAACTTCATATTGAGAGCGAAATGATTCTAGGAGGAAAATATCTGACAAGAATCCTCTCTATACTCTCAAGGAAATTAAACATAATATGGACCCTGTGAAATAAAAAATTAGAGAAATCAAAATAAGATGAAAAGGGGACTGGAAAGAGTAAAGGAAGAAACAGAAGAAAAACCCACTAAATATCTGGAAGTCACAAGAAGTGGAGTTGACAGGATAGAAACTTGAGTCGGTGACATGGATGATAGGCATGAGACTATCACATGATAAAGATGATGTGAATATCACACAATGAAGCCAGGTAGAGAGATGAGGTGACTGGAGAGGAATCATAGATTGTAGGACAGTTATGTTGAGCCAACATACAGATAGAATCCCTGATGACAAAGGAAAAGATGGAACTCCAAAAAGTAGTCAAAAACAAAAAAAACATAGTCATTTCTGAAACTTAAAAGAGCCAATTTGGCAAAAGAACAGAATTTACTATATTCCAGGTAAATTGAGTTAAGAAATCATTGAGACCAGAATAGCTCTAAAAAAGCATCCTACCACAAATGTCCAGATAGGAGAAGCAGACAATCTGCTAAGGGGAATAAGATGAGATTGGCCTCAGACTTTTTCCCAGCAATTTTAGATGGCATAAGGCAATGGAACAATGTAGAAAGAACGTTGAGGAGAAAAGGATGTGACCCCACAGTTCTATAAATGGCTTAAAATTCATTCAAATGTAAAGGTAGCAAAAATAATCTTAAAATAATAA